CTCCTTTTTCTGCTGTAAGTAAATCTAAGGCTCAGCAATTTTGGAGGACTACTGCAGCTAAAGAATTAATTTGGGATTGTAGGGTGACTGAAGAGTTGACTGCATTTTCCATTATCTTTGTTGAGTTCTAGGGAGAGTTGGTGGTACAATGAGTTGATGTACTAATACCTGCGATACCTGTGCCAAGTCCAGCCACTATACCTGTTCCAAGGAGTACAGGAAGGAAGGTGGTTCTTTTTTGTCTGGATGTAGGGGGATGTGTGAGGGCCTGAGTTAGGGAGCAGTCATTCACAAATGAGACTTGGGGGGTGGTGAGGAAAACTTGGGTGCAAAGACTAGAGTAGTTAGTGTGCAGGCACCAAAAGATGGAACAGCTGCAGAGGAAAAATATTCCCGGAGGGGCACAGGAAGAGTCAGACAAGGGAAAAGTTGAGTTGAGGGAATAGAGATCAGGTTTTATAAAGCCTACAGAGTCTCCTGTACCAGTGAGGTTGAAGCAGGTTAAATTGGAGGAGGCTGGTGGGGGAAGTCCGCAGTTATGAGGCTGAACAGAGCCAGAATGGGTGAGTTACATACATCGGGTACAGATGTGGGATTGAAAAGATATCGGTGGCTCGGCGCCTGTGGCTCAAGCGGCTAAGGTGCCAGCCACATACACCTAAGGTGGTGGGTTCGAATCCCCAGCCCGGGCCCGCCAAACAACAATGATGGCGGCAACCAAAAAATGGCCAGGCATTGTGGCGGGCGCCTGTAGTTCCAGCTACTTGGGAGGCTGAGGCAGGAGACTCGCTTGAGCCTAGGAGTTGGAGGTTGCTGTGAGCTGTGATGCCATGGCACTCTACCCAGGGGGATACCTTGAGGCTCTGGCCAAAAAAAAAGAAAAGAAAAGAAAAGATGTCAGTGTAGAGAAAGGCATATCCAGCACCCTGAGGGGGAGAAGAGAGTTCAGGGCAGCTGAGAAGGAGGTGTTTAAAAGCTGGGGAATAGGGAGTGTTTTTGTCAGCCTTGCAGGACAATGAGGGGTTATACTGGAAGAGGGGAGTTTTTTTTTATGAGTTGTCCAGTTTCTTGCTGATGTACTATGTCCTGAGTTCCTCTGCTACCTGATAATCCTACATGCATGAGGTACATCTAGCAGACAGTAGTCCCGACTTCACCTCCAGGGCATCAGGTGCCCGTTATTTTGCTGGTCCAGTACCTCTTTCCTCCATAAGAACATTCAGAGGCTTTGGTAACATCGTAACAGTAAATTGGCATGTAAGTGTGGCTAGTGAAAGAGGGGGTCTGAGTAAGAATAGAGCATAGTTGACATGGGAATGGGGGTTGGTAAGGTATTCGCAGAGATGTGAGGTTTGGGTAATAAGACAACCTGTGTATTCAGTCGGGGTTGATGGGGAAGGGAGAAGGGCCAGGATTGCCAGGAGGGGGAGCCAGAAGGAAAAGGAGTAGGAAGAGGACAAGTTGGGTTTCCCCAGGGGGAAAGTCTTGGAAGGTGCCTTGTAGCCACAGAGCTTTAAGGCTTCAAAGAGTCATCCCACCTTTGAGTGTGTGAGAGTAGCCAGGCATCTCGAGAAAAGTTATGGAGAAAGGGAAGAATTGGGGAGGAAAGTTACACATTTATGGGGAAGTGGACTTTTCGGGGATCCTGGTGAGTTTTAATGGTACTTGCAATTTCCAGTGGGGGGTGGTCTTCCAGTGTTGAAAGTTTTTCTGTAGGACACAGCTTCCAGGATTAGTGGATCCAGACTGGGGGATTCAAGATATGAATGGCCATGGGGGTGCTGTAGAGAACAGTGTGAGGGCTTGTCCAGTGAGGGGATAGTGTCCTGCCGGGCAAAGGAGATTTGAGGAAAACTTGTCCTGCCGATTGATCTCTGACTTTCTCTGCTGAGGGTTGTGGTAAGAGCTGGTTAATTATTTTTCTAAGTTCGTCCCTGGTTTCCTGGAGGATGGGAAAATAGTTTTCTATGACGAAGTCTGGAAGGGGCCCAGAATAATAGTTTTGCCGTACATGATTTCAGAAGGGTTTGCAAGGGGTAGAGAAAATGCAGAGTAAAGCGATGGGGAGGAGCTTAATCCAATCTTGTTTCTCTTGGAGTACTAATTTGGTGAGATGTTGTTTAAGGATGTTGTTCATTTGTTCTACTTTGCCTGACTATTGGGGCCTGTAAGGCACATGTAAGCGCCACTGGGCCCCTAGGGCTTGTGAGGTCTGGGAGGTGGCCTGGCTAATGAAACCTGGGCTGTTTTCACTCTGACTGGAGCTGAGGAGGCCGAATCTAGAAATAATGTGGTGGAGGAGGGTGGAGACAACTTTATAGTTTTTGTGCTTGTTGTGGGGGAAGGCTTTGACCCAAACTAGAAGATTATATTTTCTTCTTATTTTTTTTAATCCTGCCTCAAGTTTATTTGTACAAATAGCACAGGAGGACCCCAGCCCCATGCAGACAGCAGCCCAGAGGTCACATGAGTCCCTTTGTACTCATGATGGCGGACAGATGCCTCTACCCTGGAGCCTTC